ATGAAAGATGAAAGATTGTAAACTTTTAAATGGAAGAAAAATAGAACCACAAGGCCGGGGATGTAGCTCAGTGTTTCCATTATCTGCCTCGCAAGCACAAGGACCTGAGTTTAAACCCTGGTACCAAAAAAAAAAAAGTAAGAAAAATAGAACCAAACAAATGATGCGCTAGGACACGTGCCACCTGTAGCATGCTCTAAAGACAGGTACATCATGAAACTGAGGAAGAAAAGCTGCCGAGTGAGCAAGATGTAGCATGTAGCATTAGGCACTTATTTATCCACTAACTAGGGAATAAGTTAGTAAACAAAATAGAATCCTTCTTCTTTAAGAGCTTACATTTTATTTGGGAGAGGGAAATAATAGACAAATATATAATGTACCATGAAGAAAATAAAACAGTAAAGGAACCAAGATGGGGAAGCAGCTAAAGTGGGAAGAATGGTTAGGAAGTCTGCTCTGAAAAAGTGACCCTTGAATAAAGACCTTATTGGGGTGAGGAAGGAACATGACCTGTTCTTGTGAACACTGCTGTGTGAAAAGTCAGTGATGCTTTCCTAGACACCTTTGTTATTGTATATTTCAGTTAACAGAAAACACATGCACAATGTTTCATAGATTCATTTTTTTCTAAAACATTTTATTATGAAAGTTTCTAAACATTAGTTGCAGTGGACGCCCATACAGACCACCTAGGCTGAACCGTATCTCACCATCCTTGCTTGTGGTCTGTCTGCCCTTCTCTCTTTCCTCTCTGATCAGAGCTTTAACTTAAACTTGGTGTCCTTACCCTTCTTTCTGTGAGATCTGAAGCTAATCAGTTGTGAATATCTTTTACTACAGAGATTTTCAGAAACTGAAATAGGAAATATATTTGTATTCATTTTTACATTATTATGGACTCATTTTGGTTTTTTTTACATGTAACCTGCCAATCCATTCAGTTTGTTTAGTGTTGTGGTGCAAAGCAGGGTCTTGGTGGTTTTCGATTCATTTGTTGAATAATCCAGTTTACATAGTATGTTGGTCACCAGGTTTTATAAATGCCTACATGTTTTCAAGATGTCTCTTCTGTTCACTTGATTTTACTGTTGATTTATTTTGCTACAACCTCACTTTTACAATTTTACTTCACAATAAACTTTAATAAATAGGCAAATCATCCCCAGCTTTCTTTTTCACAGTGTTCTTAGCTGTGTCATAGTCTTATTCTCACGAATATTAATCACGCTAATATTTGAAAATGTCTTGTTGAAATTTTAATTAATGTTTACTTTTCTAGCTTTTTTTGAAATGACTCTTTTGTCCTCTATAAAACAGGGATGATACTAGTGGTCTTTAATAGGATTGTTGCCTGAACTACATGATAACACATGTAGTGTTGAATGTGATGTATCAACTCAGAGCCTGTTCTGGTTTTCTAGAAGGCTCTAAGATTTATTTGGCCCTAATTGCAGTCCATTTCTGGAGTTTCCCAGATCCATTTTGAAGCAAGGAAAACAATTTTTTGGGATTTTTACCAGTTCAGAAATCAAACAAATTGGAGGAGGTAAAGTAGCAACAATAGCCAAGAAATGTCTCCCTGTCCTTGCTGCAGGATGCTCTGGTATTATTGTGGCAGGTGTTCCATGGGAGACCTCCACCGTCACCACCTCTGCACTGCCTGTTCTGGACAGCCAGCGGGGCCCCAGGTTCAGATCAGCATGCGCATGCACATACCACAGACAGCTGAAATCTGGCACCAATGTTATTTACCTTTATAGAGCTCAGGGCTACTTGCCCTCCATAGAGGGGGCAGGACAGGGAAGTGTGTCAGCATAACGGCATCAAACAGCTTCATCAGGGGCCCTCTGGCCACCTTGGCAGGGCTTCCCAGCCCACAGAGCACACACACACACACTCAGTCAACAGTGAGAAGACCATGCAGTGAGTGTGGATGACCCCAGCATGGGAATCAGCACAGCAATTGTGTCTTACAACTACCTGGGGAGAAGAGTAACACACAAGTTCCTGCTCCCCAAAGTCCTTAATATAGTCCTGGAAGAGAAACCCCTCAGGGCCTGTGTGCCTGCTCACTTCTCAGCAAAGTGAGGCTCTCTTCCAAGGCTGGCTGCCAACAACCTGGCATAGCTGCCACATTCATCTTAACCTGGTACACCTCTAGGAAACATTATAAGAAAACTTACCTATCTGCACTATTTCCCCCTCTGAAGAAGTACCCGTAACTGCTGTGAGGGGGCAAAAGGCGAAGACACCTCTGCCTACTTCCAGCCAAAGAGGGTCATAGTTGTGATTAGCAGTTAGAGTTACTCTACAGAGGGTTTAACTAAAGGCCTTCAATCTGTAGTATTGCACATTGGTAAGTTAATTAGATATCTTGTAGGCAGTTATACAGGGCCACCCTCAAGTAGCCAGCCCTCAAGGAGCCAACAGGGAGGACAATCAAGACACATTCACTGAAGGTCAGAATTGTAAAAGGAGAGAAACTGCTATATCTTTGTGCTTTCCCTGGGGATGAATAGCAGTGATTGATATTCTAAATAGGTTTCAGTCACCTGGCCACCAAAGTCTTAGCCCAGCTTTTCCAGGAAATATCCCTGATTCCCAGCCTTACTGAAAATCATTGTATATTGCTATGTGACTGGGTCCCCCATTTGACCCCCATTTAATCAGTATTACCTGGGTGACTGTGCTTGTAATCTTATTGGTTGGTCTTGGTTTTGCCCCACTTCATGTCCTCCTTGTAATTTTCCATTGGGTCTTAGAGTTTTGCCCCGCTTTGTACCCACCTCACCACATGGCTTTGCTATATAAAACATCTTTGAAAATTAGGGTGAGTGGGCAACCCACTTTCTGGTCCCCCTTCTGTCTTAGAAGCTTTCTTTCCCTCAATAAATTTTTCCTACTCTTAAATGAATAAATAAATAAAGGCCTTTGATAGGTGCCAGATGTTATTATCTTAAAAGCTGCATAGCTTTTAAGTCTGGAGGAGAAAAAGCCAAAGACAGAGTTAAGAATGCATGGGCCATATTATAAAGTCAGCAGGATTGCTATGAATACAGCCCATGAAGAGGACAAAGAGAAGGTCCAGGGGACTTCAGAATCCAACACAGAAGTCATACTGTACACTTGAGCAGTTATGAACTTTACAAAGTCGACCTGGTGGATCCAATAAGAGAAGTCTAGCACATTTGTCATTGGTTCCATTTGTATGACTGATTGGAGTTTGGCAGCCTCTAGGCAACAATAAACAAAATTTAAGAAATTAGAGTATGCATATTCTAAGCATGAACACACTAGAATGAAAGGGCAGGTTGGGGAGAAAGTCACACTTAGAAATGGAAATAGTGATTGAACCTGCTGGTCTTGGATTCTTTCATTGATAGAGGTTATATAAAAGTCTGATACTTTGTCATCAGTCTCTCTAGTTTTAGTTGTAAGAGACAATTTAAAGAACAAATTTTGCTAAGAGATACAAACTCTAGCTGAGCTCATATAGATTTTACCATAGTTTTTTTCCTAATGAGCCATAACCATGGTCAGCTACTGGTAGAGCTGGAAATTGAAGGGGTCAGTGACTGGAGACCCTTTTAATATCTAGCATTATTACTATGGCATTCTTTTATACCTCTTTTGGTTATTTTCTTCTGGGTGTTTAAGACCAAGTTAGAGTGAGAACTGTGTCACTCAACATGAATCTCTTGCTATCTATCAAGGTCAGTTAAGTCTCTTCAGACATTATTTTGGAACTATGCATAGAGCCTCTCAGCTCCTCTGTCAGTCAGCCGTCAGGATATGTCACAGCCTTGCTTGACTATGTTGCTTTCAGTGAAAGCGTGGGACACATTTCCCTTGTGGTGACCCTCCATTGGCAGATCTTGTAGACCTTGAGGGGCCAGGGCCAAAATATTGGCCCAATTACCTTTCCAGTTTTGGTCTCCAGACTTCCGTTGTTGAACACCCAGAAGACAAGATCCGTGACATTAGTAGCTTAACTATTATAATTTTGTCTTTAAGCACTTTGAAGTATGAAGCTCAATTAGACAGGCTGTTATGTCTTATCAACCATAGTTGTTCTAGTAGTTGAATCCCTCTGACCAGTAATCTCCAAAATGATATAGAGGGGAAGAGATGTAACTCCCAAACCTACTAGATAGACGAAACGCGAATTTGTGTTCTCTAAAAGTCAAAGAATGAATTCTAAGAACAACAGAGGTTAAGAGTAGGAAAAATTTATTGAGGGAAAGAAAGCTTCTGTTTAAGAGAGACAGAAGGGGGACCAAAACGTGGGTTGCCCCAAGGTCCTTAATTTTAATCACTCATTTATTTTTCTCAATAAATTCTCCGTCTGACTTGCCTGTCTGTTTACAGCAGCAAATAATGAAGCAGATGCTTTCAGTCCCTGAAAGCCATAGCTCTAGTACCTGTTTTCAGATAGCAAGAGTTGGCTCATATCCCCGTGACGCTAACTTTCCCTGTCTCGGGGGACTTTCCTCTTCAGTCCTGTTGGCCAGTGGGGAGGGAAACAGGACAGCCAGCTTCCTATTTGTCCTTTTAAATCTGAGTACTGAATTCACTTACTTGAATTTTCTGAGTTCTTTAGGTTGTGAAGTTTTGAATTAGAGAACCTAGCCTGTATGTCAGAGATCCAACCCAGTCTCAAGCATTCCCTACCTCTTGTTATTTTTCCTGCTGAAATAGTTGGGATTTTAGCTTTCCAGTGGCATTGACTTCTACTGAAAAATGATGAAATATTTATTTCTGCTCATTTGAGTTTCAGAAATATGATTTCATGATACCTCATTTTAAATACTTTTTTAGCTTTATTGGTTCTTAAGTTTTGTTTCTTTTTTTACTTTTATTAACCATCTTAAGTATTTTTCTCTCCTGCATGTAGTTCAGTTTCAGAGTGTATTTCACCATACTTGTTTTTGCTAAAAATGCTGTCACTTGTAACATCATCCTCTGGTTGTTTTAACAGCAAATTTTATCACCTACAGGAGAATATTAAAAAGTGAGCCTCCATACCCCCAAGACATGAGTGCATTAGCTAAAGACCTGATTCAGTGTCTGCTGATGAAAGATCCCAAGAAGAGGCTGGGATGTGGCCCACGGGATGCAGATGAAATTAAAGAACATCTCTTCTTTCAGGTGAAATTCATTGAGCAGATAGCTTCACACCTCTGCTGTTGTCAGAGAACTAGGCATTCTTGCTGAGAAGACTGAACACAGTTCCTGTGGGGGTCATTTTCCACCTATGTTAGCATTCTTTCTTTTGTGGTCCTGGGGATTATTGAACCCAGGGCCTCTGCACTGACCAACATCTTGAGCCCTTTTTTTTTCAATTTTTTCAATTTTTACTTTTTGGGATTTTGTTTGTTTTTGGTACTGGAGATTGAACTCAGGACATTGTACTTTCGAGGCAGGTGGTCGAACCACTGAGCTAAATCCCTGGCACATTTTTACTTTTTGAGCATCTCCCCAAGATGCTAAGTTGCCAAGTTACCCGGGCTGGGCTTGAATCTTCAGTTCTCCTGCTTCCCCTCCCAGAGTGCACCACTATGCCCAGCTTTTTTAATGACAAAGACCCGTTAGGAAGGGCCAGAATTCTATTTATGTAGACCAGAGTAGTCTTTTCCTCCCTAAGTATAATGGGAGTGGGGAAGATCATAATCATAGCATTCCATTTTTTCTGTACTGATCAGTTTGTTTCTGAGAAGTACTTTCCATTTATGACTTTGGGATTCTGGCATAGAGACGAAGGAAACTTGTTACATTTCTTGCTTCTTTCTCAGCCTGTGAGCTGTTAGTGGCACCATGTTTCATCTTTTAGATAGTAATTTCATTTCTTCTTCTGTTCCCAGGAAAAATGTTAAAAAATTCAAACCTATTTCTCAGTGCATATCTATGGCAGATACAGAGTTATTTCTTTATTTTCTTTATTTTCGCTGTGACTGGGCTTTTCTTATAATGAAAAAGCCTGATAGGAGACCACTCTACTGAGTAGAAAACATCAGTACAGTTTTCTTTGCTCAATTTAGTCCTAGTTTACACCAAGTAATAATGACTGAATTGACTAGATTGTTTAAGTAGTCAAACCTGGGATGCTATGGCCTTAATTTCTAATAGGCTAATGTTTTTAAATTCTTTAATCGTATCAACAAGCATGATCTAAACGTTTATATCATCCAAATTTTCCTTCTTATTCTGTAAACTAGAACATTTATTATCACCGACACAAATGAATATACAAAAATTTGTCAAGTTAACATTTTATTTACTGCTTCTTAGCTATAGTAAAACAAATATTCATTGAAAATAAGAACTATCTCTGTATACTTCATTGCACAAAAAAGAGCATGTTCAGGGCTGGAGATCTAGCTCAGTGGTACCGCCTGCCTCACAAGCACAAGGTCCTGAGTTTGATCCTCGGTACCAAAAGAAAAAAGAGCATGAGCATGTTTATTTCAGTTCCTCAGTGTAATCATCTTTTAAAATATTACTTCACATTTTACAGTTCAGTGAGAACATTTTGAGAAACACATTTAGATAAAATGATTAGTATTTCATAAATTCATATGAAAGATTATTATTTGAACAAACCATTTCAAATATGTTACTCATAAATTTGCCTGAAAAATTAACAATCAAGTAAAATTCAAGAAAGTATTTAGGCAAAATACACCCAATTTTATTTTCCTAGGATCTTTTTCTTCATTGTTCCCTGTATTTGTGAATATTACAGTATATCGTTCATATTTGAAAAATTTCTTGATAGCTTGGAATAATAATTTAAAGCTATTTAATTGCTTTTTAAATGATAAACTTTTAGCGTGATCAGAATTCTACTTGTTAAGACCTAAATGGTCTCGCCCCATAAATGGAACAGGAGTGGGAAGTACCACAGTAGCATTCAATTTTCTGCATCTCAAACATTCTCATGCCAACGATGTACTTCTCTAAATTACCCTTTTACTCTAGAAGTTTCTTTTAGAAACTTTACAATAGCCAAGTGCAAATTATGTACTTTTAACATTACAGCCGTATAGAAGAAAAAACACATACAAAAAGAACACCAGCCAGAAAGTCGAGAAACTGTTCAAATCCTGATTCTTCCACCAGCTAGGGTTTAAAGGAAAAGGGTAATTCTTATTTCTGAGCCTCCGTTTCCTTCTGGATCAAATAAAGAGGATGAACTAAATTGTCTTTAAAACCCATTCTAGCTGGAAAGGAAAATGTAAAGATCTGTAATTTAATGATTTTATTTCCTTTGCTTCCACGGGGAAACATAATAAAAACATTTTGTGGTAGCAATTAAACAGTGAAATTCATCAACTAGGAAGTACAGGTACATTTTACCATCACTAAAATCAGTATGCATTCTGCTTGCCTTGTTAGCACAAGGTCCTAAGTTCGATCCCCAGTACCAAAAATTTTCTGAAAAATCAGTATGCATCTTACAATGAATGTCATCTCATGATTCTAATAATGCTGTTTCCTTTCTTATGGATATGATGTATGTACTATCAGTAATGCCATCCTAGATTTGAAGAAATTTGGTAATGGCAGATCTGTCAAAAGTCAATCAGTATTATCTAAGGGTATTTTAAGTGAAAAAAAGGAACATAAAGAGGGTTGAATTTGAATAATATAAAAAAGTCAATTACTCAGTGTCTAATATGGGCATGGTTTATCCTTTAGGGAAGATAAGAGGCAGGGTCTACAATGTTGCATACAACTGAATGAGAAAAGAGCAATTGCATCACTGTAATACTTTCATTTAAACATATGGGCATAAGCAGATGCTTGATTAATAGTGAGTATTTTTTAATCTATCCAGATGACCCAGAGGAAAAGCAAGTACAAGGGAGACTTCAGTTAACGCTGCCTCTAGAAAATAAAGATATTTCTTTAGAGTTAATAGCCACAGAACATTTAAACCCCTTTACTGCACTTTTGTTTTGCTTTGTTTTGTTTAAGGGTTTTTGTTTTGGGGGCCCTTTGCCAGAAGGCTCAGAACAAAAGTAATTTTTCTGGTATTTCTAAGGGTGAACGAGGGTGTGTTGGTGCCCCCTAGAGGATACTGTGAGACTCAAAGGGAGGAAAGAGGCTCACTTTCAGAGGAGGCCTCTGCAGGATTAGCTCGGTGCCACAGCTAGAGATGGGCTCGGGGGTGGGATGGGATCATCAATTTGAAATATGCGCATTGTTTTTAACTTCTCTCCCGATTAATTAAAATACTACTCTGTCTTTGTTATTCATAGGAGATATGTACAATTTTTGTTTACTTCTGCTTTTTACCAATTTTCTTTCTGTGCTGTAGAAAATAAATTGGGATGACTTAGCTGCCAAAAAAGTCCCGGCACCATTTAAACCAGTCATCCGAGATGAACTGGATGTGAGTAATTTTGCTGAGGAGTTCACAGAGATGGACCCCACCTATTCTCCTGCAGCCCTGCCCCAGAGCTCCGAGAGGTTGTTCCAGGTAATGCCCAGGTGTTCACCTATATTGCTTTGGGTAAAAGAGATCAGTTTTCCCATATGAAAGTCATTTTGTTGGCTTCTTAAACCTGGGGTTCTCTAATCTTCAAAAGTATTAAGTGAGGAGATATTTCAGATTGCTCACTGAAGCTAAGAGTTTCTAAATAGCAGGCGTTGTTTCTGCATTTATTTTTATATAATGATACCTTAATTTCATACCTACTGTTTTTTTTTCGGGGGGGTGTTTGTTTGGTTTTGGTTTTTTTGGTACCGGGGATCAAACTCAGGCCCTTGCCCTTGTGAGGCAGGCAGTGGAACCACTGAGTCAAATCCCTGGCCATGTTTTATTTTTATTCAGGTTCTTTTTATAGAAATTACAATAATGCTTTATTTTTACCCCAATTCATGTAAAACATTCTTTAGTTCATAATGTTGTCTCATTTTTTATCTTGAGTGAATAATCTTACTGCTTTCCCCCTCATAAAGACTGAGAAAGAATTTTATAGAGAGAGTTCTTTATCGGACTTCAGATAATCTATTAATTGGCACTCCTCTAAGTGCCTGTAGTGCCATTTAACCTGATCATCAAGGCTGTGTCTCTTCCTCGCTTCACTTCCCTGTTTAGCATATGGCCACGCACTTAGTAGATGTTTGTTGTTGAACTAGTGAATGCTTAAGTTTGGACAGATTAATCATGCGTCATTATATCACTTCTGGCTCACCACATCATCATGTCATTAGATGGGCTCCTTTTCAAAACCCAACGTTAAATTTAACTATTGTTGGGCCAAGGATTTGGCTCAGTGGTTCCAGCGCCTGCCTCGCAAGTACAAGGACCCGAGTTTGATCCCCAGTGCTAAAAAGAAATTGACTATTGTCAAGAAATAGAACACAAGTCAAATAATTGCTGAGCTAGAAACTAACTTTAATGAAAATTGTTATTTTCCTAGTTTGCATCCCAGTGGCACTGGTATTTTCTTGATTGAAAGACTACTATGTTTAATATCTTGATGATATCTTTTTTGAGACATTAGTTATGTTTATAAGCAAACAATTACCAGCAAAAAGCAAAGTATAGTTCTGAGTCAATTTGGGATTAGGATAGGAAAGAAGTGTTTTTCTGCCTTTTTATTGAATTGGTTTAATTCTACCAGAAGATGGCATTATCTCCTTCTGAAAAGCATTTTTCTATTTAATTGAAATGACTCTGCATTTGGAATTACAAATAGAATGAAATTAGATTCATCTCAACAATCATTTGAGTATTTTCTAAGAAAAAAATGTTCTCAGTCTACTCTGTGCTAAACTGCAGAATGGCAAGTCTTCATTCTTCACCTTCCTTCTCTTTTGCAGGGCTATTCTTTTGTTGCTCCTTCTATCCTATTCAAGCGTAATGCAGCTGTGATCGATCCTCTTCAGTTTCACATGGGAGTGGAACGCCCTGGGGTGACACATGTGGCCAGGAGTGCCATGATGAAGGTATAGATTCATGGTCACTTCATGGTTTGCATGAGTGTTTAAATATTAACACTAACATTCTCAAGTTCCATCAGTTTCATAGATTTACCGTTCAGCTAAAGTGCAATTTTAGAAAATGAGTAAATAAGTGGAAATAGCAGCATGAGCCCTTAAAGAATTAACATAAAAAAAGAATTATTAACATCAATTTGAATGAGCTTTTTGCGATCAAGTATGTACTTTAATGATATAGATAAAAATAGACATTAGAAGAATAGAAATAAGATGAATTTTAGATGATAAATATATTTCATTCTTTCTTTTTTTTTTTTTTTTTTTTTTTTTTTTTTTTTTTTTTTTTTTTTTTTTTTTTTTTTTTTTTTTTTGGTACCAGGGATCAAACTTGGGTCCTTGTGCTTGCAAGGCAGGCTATGGAACCACTGAGATAGATCCCCAGTCCCATATTTATTAATATTAATAATGTTGCATTACTTTATAGCTTTACTTATTCCTTGTGTATTACTAACCTTTTCTTAAGTTAAATGATGTTGGTTTCTTACCAGGACTCTCCATTCTATCAACACTATGACTTAGATCTGAAGGACAAACCACTAGGAGAAGGAAGTTTTTCAATTTGTCGAAAGTGTATACACAAAAAAAGTAACCAAGCATTTGCAGTGAAAATAATCAGCAAAAGGTATGCCCATTTCTTGAAGTCTTGTTCTTGTCTTTATCCAAGTCAATGAATTCATAAATTAAGAGATTTTTATTGAAAAAGAAACCAATAATATATTATGAGCCCTTTCTACCTATGATCTTAGCCACTGGAATTATTAATTGATTCATTACACTTTTAGACCTAATAAATATTTTCTGGTAAAGTAATCCATTTTTATATTAATTATAATCTCTTATATGCTTGAAACTATTAAGGGAAAACTTTCTTGTATAATACATTTAATCAGACTCGCTTAGTGATTTCAGCAGCTATTACTATTTCTCGTAGTTGAATCTATGACATACTTTTCTCTGAAATTACTTAATACGCTATGATAGCTTTGATAGTCATCTTACTGGTTTTGTTACTGATTATTACCTTCATGACTGGGTAGTCTTTTTTTGCCTGCACTGAGGATTGAATCCCAAGCCTCGCAGATGCTAGGCTAGTGTTCAGTCACTGAGGCATATCTCCAGCCCATGATTGTACAGTCTTCTTACCAAATTGCTATGCAAATAGAGCGTCCTTTTTTTTTTTTTTCATATGACTGGCTCTTTTCTGACTCATAATAATTTTCTCCAAAAATAACTTTAACTTTTCTGGTGAGCGATTTGATTTGGTACTTCTTCCTGCTACTTTGATACATGAATTCTCTGAATACACTGTAAATAAAAGCAAAATTAGGGCTGGGCCAATACAGGCATCAAGAATTTGTTTGAAGAGACGTGTAGGTGCTAACTGTTTCATCTTATAGGATGGAAGCCAATACTCAGAAAGAAATAACAGCTCTGAAACTCTGTGAAGGACACCCCAATATCGTGAAATTACATGAAGTTTTTCATGATCAGGTATTCCACATGTTCTTTTCTGTGCGTGCTAACTAAGTCCCACACAGGGTTCTGCGTCTCACTGGTGTCGTGGGTCTTCTGCGTCAGAGTCAGGAATATGGAACATCACTCAACCACCAGGAAAAGCAGAGAAACCAACACGTACCCTCTTACCTGCCCCCACATCTGTTCATCCTTTCACCTCTCCTGCTTTCCTCATTTCTTTGCACATATGACATGACAGCAGGAGCTCAGAGGTGCTGTCCCAGGCTGCAGGGTGCTTTTTGCCAAAGCAGGTGCTGCTCACCATAGTTTAGTGACCACACAGTGGCACATCTCTCAGTACTTAGTAATTTTGAGTCTTCAACTTTTTTTTTCTACTCTAGAGTAGAATGTAGTCTTAATCTATTGGTTTTGGTTTTGTTTTTGTTTTTTGGTACCAGGGATTGAACTTGGGTCCTTACGTTTGTAAGGCAGGTGGTAGAACCTCTGAGCTAAATCCCCGGCCCAGTGTAGTCTTAATCTAAATTATGGCAAGCTAAAGAACCAATAGGAAGAAGGTGAAAGATACTCTCTTTCATCTTCTTGTTTCAGGTAGCCGATTCTGCTGAACCCCCAGCCAGGTCCTGCTATCCCCTCTTCCACTTCAAATCTTGCTTGCTTTCTAACACTTTGGATATGGGAGGAGTGCCATTGTATGAGGTCCATGTCACCTCTCAGCCCTTCCCACTACCACCCTCCAAGTCTGAAATTGCTCCATTACAGTGTTTTTCCCACTAAGCTTGGAAGGGATAACACAGTCTTTATCAAGACAACATGGAGCTAAAACTAATCCTGAATGTGCTTTGCCCTAATTTTACCCATGAAGAAACAGATTCCAAAGGGTCGGGAGACTTGTACCATTGCACATTGAGTGAGTGAGACTCTAGCAGGGAAAATCTGGTGTGCAGTTCTGGGCTATCCTCATGGTGCTCTTGTGACATCCTTGACTAGGAGAGCTGGGACTAGTTCTCCAGTACAGTTATTGGTGTCCCAAAGTACTGTGACCAAAAATGACATGTTGTTATAAGGTCAGGCAGCAGCAAATGTGGCGTCTTTAATGACTGATACCTATAATAACTGCTGTACCAGATATCTTCACATTTCATATCAATCCTTACTTTATCTCTCCAGATGAGAAAACAGAAACTCACAGAAGTTCAGAAACAGAGTCTCACAGTTTATAAATGATAAGGCTGAGACTTGAGCCCAAGCAGTCCAACATCAGCAACCACTCAGCTTGTAATTTATTTTACTCTACCACCTTAGAGGAAGCAGAAACTCAGCCTGACTTTTATGCCAGGCAATCAGGACCCCAAATTAGCATTACCTGCTAATTCTCATTGGTTCCACAGTCAGAAAAGGATCGCCTCTGCAGCAAGGACTCAGGAGGAACACACTCTTCTTGCTCCTCCATTGCCTCCCACCTCACTGAGCTACTCCACTCTAGTGGAGATAGTGAGTGCCCTGTCCAGTAGAGTTGCTCAAGAAGAGACTAGACAATACTATTATGCAAATAGAGAAGAAATTCACATATCAATCTAGGTAACAGAGGATGTCTTTAGAACTCCACTTTGGGGTTTTGCTTCTATGCCACTAGCTGTATCCCAGCCAAGACATTTAATATTTGACCTCAGACACGTAGATCTCAAGAACTACATCCTTAATTTTGTACTTCTGTCCCAAGGTGATTCTTTGCTATTTCTATATTAAGAACTTACTAGAATATAAGTTGCCTCATGACATGATCTTATACACATTAGTATAATACATTATTCTGATGTGCACTTGTTGAAATGTACCTTGGGTTTTTCCCATGCTGGTGACACAGTTGTCTAGATCATCCCCATATCCAAAGTCTTTTTCAACTAATGGTGACATTGATTAAAGGTAGGTCTTCAGACCTTAACTGTGATAGAACAATTCATTTTATGTGCCGTGATCGGTACTTTACACACTCCAAGAGTTTTCTATTGCTGTTGTAAGAAATCACCATAAACTTAAAACAGTACAAATTTATCTTAAAGTCTGGAGATGAGAAGTCCAAAATTGGTCTCATTGATTTAGAGTTGGCAGGGCTGGTTCCTTCTGGAGACACAGGCAGTTTGTTTACTTACCATTTTTAGCTTATAGAGGACTCCTGTGTTACTTGGCCTGTGACCCTTCTATGCCATACTTGCATCTCGTTTCTATTATCCCATGCCATACTACAGGCCCTGATGAGTAATGCATCTCAAGATTCCTCATTAATCACATCTGCAAAGTCCTTTACACTATCTACAGTAACAGCCACAGGTTCTGAGGGTTAGGGTATAGATACCTTTGGAAGGCTGTTTTCAAGATACCATACATACATTTTCTCATTTCACCTACAGTTTATTGGTAAGCATTTTTAGGTTCATAGAGGTAAAGTAGCATCCCCAAAATTATAAGGGACAGAAGTGACTTTCAAATCCCAGCTTCCTTCTTGTTTTGAAACTCTGTGAAGGACACCGCAATATCACCGGCCTATCCTTATTGCAAATATTTAGCCTTCACTTTATTCATCTAATGTAGAGCCACAAATTAGTGTGATCTGTAATAGCCAGGGAGCATTTTTCTCATTAAAAATGATATTCACCCTTTACAATTTGTGCAGTATTTTTAGGATAATGCAGTTACAGGTTTTTTTTTTTTTTTTGTGGAGCACTTTTTCTGAGTTTTGCTAATTCTAGAAACATTTGTTGAGTGGTCTTGGTGCTGCAGTGCCTAGTACCTGAACCCAAATATTGACATATTTTCTTCTAAACTAGTTGTGTTTTCTTAAGGGGTTGTCTTTCAGTAGCTCTTATGTTATTTTCTTTATGGAAATATATGCAAAACTTATATATAACATAAAACTGTTAGGATCAAAAGCAATTGCGAAAAGAAAGAAAGAAAAGAAACAGGGATTGGGAGTGTAGCTCAGTGTTAGAGCACTTGCATAGCATGCATGAGGCCCTGGGGTTGATCTCCACCAGACAAAACCAAACAGCAACAAAAAGCATCTTTTAAAAACCCATACCCAGTGAGTTTTAGGGTATTTTCAGTGAGTATTAACAGGAACCCCAAAGCTAATCTGCTGACCCTCTAAAATTAACAAGCGATATTTTTTAAAGGTAAATTTGCTATTAAATGGGTCTTCCAGGCTTCGAGTGCCACACACCTAATTGGTAAGGGAATGTTCTATATTACTTACAACAGATGACTCAAGATTATTGTCAGCACTGGGTCACACTTTAAAAAGAAAGATGCATAAACCCAAGAGAGAAGGTTGGAATGGAGTTCAAATGCAAGAATTAGTGAAGGAAAGGGTGTGTGAAAATTTCATTGCAGTAGTCGAAATTTTCCGTTACCAAAATAGAACTCTAAAAAAGCCACTTCATCCTTCAGCTTATACAAGGATTTCTGTTGGTTATTTTAACGAGGGATTGTTTAAATTTACCAGCAATATAGTTGATAAGCATCTTACACACTAGTAGACTTCTTTTCATTAAGATTCTCCAATTATTACTTTTTCTTTTCTAGCTTCATACATTTCTGGTGATGGAACTCCTGAATGGAGGAGAGCTGTTTGAACGTATCAAGAAAAAGAAACACTTCAGTGAGACGGAAGCCAGCTACATCATGCGGAAGCTCGTCTCGGCCGTCAGCCACATGCATGATGTCGGAGTGGTGCACAGAGATCTCAAACCCGAGGTAGAAAGCACTGTGTCACTCCTGTATTTTAGCCTAGCACCATTAGTAAATATCCTCCACATAGATGTGGGATCTAGGGCAGTGGTTTCCTCCCCGCTAGGACTCTAAAGTAGATGCTTGAAAACAAGCTTTGTGTTTCTTTTTCCTTTTCTATGTCACTTTGAAATAAATTTGTCATTTTTTTGCCAGCTGATCATCTTGGGGTTATATTTGTAAGTGTGAGAGCCTTTTATGGAAAAAATACTTTATGCAACAGTTGTAGACTAAAAATAGCAGTGGAAAATTTTGTAGAAGGAAATAATATCCCTTCTATATGTATTCCATTTTGAAGGGGATTTTTTTAAAATAATGTATTCTTAAAGTTTATTTTTCATGTTTATAATCAAATCGCTTAGCTCCTGAGGAGAAATGTATATGATTCTATTCTACATACTTACACACAAAGCGTTGTCTTGGTTTAATAAAAAAAATTATGCCATCTTTATACATGCTTTTCTTTGCTTAGACTATAGTATTTATAGAACTGTGCAGCAATGCAAAAAAGAGCAGCTTTTTATATATTCCTTCTTTCAAAAGATTATTAAAGAGAGTTCTAACTCAGAAAGATCCCTCATTAGTATCAAAAGTGTGAAAAATCCTCCTTTTTGAAAATCAGAACAGTAATAATGTAAATTAAAAACAAAAGCTAGTAATTTATAAAAAGAAAACAAATGAATCATCCTTTACCCCATGCAGTTATGCGTACTTTTTTCTCTAAAATAGAACTTATTTTTTGTTCCCATGTGATTATAATGTGTTTCAAGTATATTTAAAATATTAATTCATTTTGTGTTTCTTTTCTGTTAAACCACAGAAGAATATTTCTCTAAAAGCACTGTTTTTTTGCCTTTTTAAGTATCTTAAGTTATTAGAAGAAAAAGATGTTTTAAAAATGGGAATCTATTCATTGAAGTATACAGTCATCCCACAGTATCCTTGGAGGATTAGACCCCATTCCCCAACAGATACTCAAAGGAATGTTCAAGTCCCTTATGTAAAGTGATATATTTGCATATACCCTACACAAATCCTCCTGTAGTTTTTAAATCCTCCCAACATGACTTTTATACCTACTGTCATGTAAATGTTATGTAAATAGTTGTTATACTGTATTGGTTAGAGAACAATGGTAAGAAAAAAATGTGTTCAGTTCTGCTGCAATTTTTTGTTTGTTTGTTTGTTTTGGTACCAGAGATCAAACTCAGGTGCTTGCAACTTTTGAGGCAGACTGGGGAACCACTGAGCTAAATCCCCAGCCCTTTTTTTAAATTTTTGATCCTGGATTGATTGAACCCCTGGTTGCAGGACTCACAAATATGGCGAACTGACTATAGTTGACTTAGTCCTTTGAAGTATTTAAACTTCTGTCTGTGTACTTTCTATTACTGTTATTCACATGACTAGTAATTAATCCAAAGTGACTTGTGTTTTGTGAACTTGCAACTATGATCGCTCCCCCTCTGCTTCCTTCATCAAAGTTCTCACTCTCCTACATGACGCCCACTGAAAATATGGTGCTCTGTACATTGGAGATTAGCTGTCTATTTTTAAATGTGAAAGCACACCACTTAAATGTTTTCTTGATAGACAAGGAACAGGCATGTAGTTTTTTTAATGGAAAAGATCTGTTCCATGACTGTATAAAATTCATTTTCACATGTTTTATTCTTTGATAACTGGCCATCTGTCATCTCGAGTCTCAAATGAGGCAACTGTCCTCTGCGGTAGAATTTAAATATGCCTTCCTACTTTCCTGGTAAAAAGATACTTGTGTAGCTTAATTCTTCTTCTTTTCTTTTATTTGAAATGAAGCAGAATTGTCAGATTATTGAGGACACCCCACTATAGTTATAATCTTAAACTGAACCAGATTTTGGAGAAATGATAAAGTATCTTCGAACTAAGAGCCTCATAATCATATAGCTTTCACTTTGACTTTTAAATGGCAGAGTGTATTATTTTCTGCTGAAGTTTTAATCCCTTCCTCATGCAGCATTTTAAGACCTGATAATTTATCTTTCAGTTATATGCCTTTCATTTTCCACATAGGCAAAATTTTAAGTTTTCAATGAGAATCAGGTAAATTCAGAGGCCCACTGACATTCTTAGTAGGTTGCTTTGTATTTTTCAAACTGGCCCCATCCTCTTGAAAGATTAAGAAAAGTTATATGTGTGAAATTAACTTCCAGTAGAACAGGAAATGAGGATAAAAGGAGATTGACCAGGTACTTCTGCCTCTCCTGGCCATGTGCAGTCCACACCCCTCCACATGGAGCTGTCTCTGACTGACTGTGCATCAGGAGAGCAGGTAGGCAAGCGATGCTCCAATTTACATGCTCAGGGACAGGAGAAATGAATGAAGGTTGCCAATGAAAGTGAATGCCACATTCTCTCATTTCCTCCCCTTCAAGAATTAAATCGGGGAAGTCCTTCTCCAGTCTTACTATGAAACATGCTTAGGGATTCTCCAAGGAGGTAGCAGGCTGCAATAATGAGGGAGCAGGTGTGCTCCTCGCTGCTCTGTGTAGCACAGTGCATGGCACTATAGAGGGCTTTAAGTATTATTTGCTGAAAGAAAACATCCATGATCCCTAGCTGTGATTTTGATTTTCACACATTAGAGATTAAGCATTGTATGACAGAAATTTTAAGAAACTCAGTTAACTTTTTGCTTTTCTTTCCTCTGACATTATTCATTTTCAACTTTTAAGGGAAAGACTTAGAAGATATTTCTTCTTGGTATGAAAGAAGCTGTCTTTGATGTCTTTTGTTTCAGTAAGAATAATAATAACAAAGCAAATTGTATCCCAGAACTGGGAATAATCTGATCAATATAAAGGCAAAGACAATATAATCAGATTCACTTACTTTCAGTACTGACTGGATGTACTTGTTAAAATGATTTGTACATCAATACAGTTAACATTTATTAAGTACATGACAAGCATACAAGTAGTACAGTAAAGCTTTCATGATCTAGAGGTCTGGGTCGATGTGTGATTCAAAAGAAGTGTCACCTGAATGTTTCAGGTTTATCTCTAAACATCAGAATATGTTTAAGTACTAAATTTTGGAGAAGATGTTTCTGAAATGAAATGCATATCTCCCTCATGTTTTCTTTAATAGTCTATCCTAGATATTATGAAGCTTTTTTTATTACTTTGTTCAGTGAACAGATTTATACATACCTCAGGAATATTGTAGGCTTGGCTCCAAACTACCACATGAAAGTGCAGATCACAACAGTGCAAGTTACAGGGAGTTTTTGGTTTCACAGTGCATACAAAAATTATTTTTATACTATGATGTAGTCCATCGTGTGTGCAATAGCATTGTGTGAAAAAACAACGTACATACCTTAATTTAAAATATCTCTTCTTTTCAGTTGAACACTTGGGGGTCATTTTAGACTTATTGCTTGGCCTGATTTTAATACTGTGTGTCTCAGGGACTATATCAATAATTGTGTATACAGAGAAAACGTTCCATAAATAGGAGCAGCAGATCCCCTAATGTTTTCATGAGAAACTAACGGAACTGTTGGTATCTTACAGAATTTATTGTTCACTGATGAAAATGACAACTTGGAAATTAAAGTAATTGATTTTGGGTTTGCGCGCCTCAAGCCCCCTGACAATCAGCCTCTGAAGACCCCATGCTTTACCCTTCATTACGCAGCCCCAGAACTCTTGAATCATAACGGCTATGATGAGTCCTGTGACCTGTGGAGCTTGGGCGTCATCTTGGTGAGTTCATCTTAACAGTCTTTACCCCCGCCCAGTGCTTTCATGTCCTCTGTACTTCATTCTTTGTCTGTCTCTCTCTCTCTCTCTCTCTGCTGTTTTTCTTAAATTTATTTTTTAAAAGTCAAATTGGTTTCTTCTCTGTACAAGCAATTAAAGGCCCTACTAAGGAATATTTCCAATTCTAAAAACAGTTTAGTATATTTTGAAATATAGAGGCCACCTGTGACTTGTATGAATGGAAGTTTATACTTTTGTTTTTTGTGCCAGGGGTAGAACCTGGGACTTTGTGCTTGTGAGGCAGGTGGCAGAACCACTGAGCTGAATCCCTGGCCCTATGCATTGTTTTTTTGTTTGTTTGTTTTTTGTTTTGGTCCTGGAGATCGAACTCAGGTCTTTGTTCTTACAAGGCAGGCGGCAGCACCACTGAGCTAAATTCCCAGCCCTACATTGTTTTTTTTTAAAGCCATGATAGTATGTTTTCGTGACCCATACTGTATTGGATATAATATAAAAATAGCAGAATTGCATGTTAATACAAAAGTATTTAAACTATGCTGTGAAATTTCAGACTGAAAATATAATTAAAATAATTTAGGATGAATTAATAAATTAATAAATTAAAATCGGAAGTATTTATGGCAATTTATAGTATCACGATGAGCATGCTGTCCAAAAATTTTCCTGGCTGCTTTGATCAAAAACTGAACATAAGTTAGTAAAATTTCAGCATGTTTTAACCTCAAAATAGCTTTACTTTTTCTGTGTATAATTTGTAATGCCTGTTCTTAGGGAAAATTTTCAGACAGTGAAGAAAGATAAAAGGAATAAAGTGAAAAGCACTAATAATTTTACCATTCAAACATGTTTCTCAAACATGTTTCCTTCTTTTGCTAGCCCCACCCATTGTATGTATATGTGCTTTATACCTTTCTATGTCTTTTTCTCTACCTGTATGTATATGTGGGGGTTTTAGTAAATAGGACCTTATTATACATGTAGTTTGAGTCTCAAAATTTATTTAACCATTTCTTTACTAATGAGCAGTTAGCATTTTTCCCCTTTTCACTGATTATAAACTCTATAATAATAAATATTTTTATATGCGTATTTGCATCTTTCTCAGTGTTTCATTGGGATTCATTCCCAAAAGAAGGATGCACACATTTTTATTTCAACATAAAAAACCTAGACTTCCTTCTAGAAAGATTTATGGGGTTACATTCCAACTGTATGCAAGTACATTAGATGCTACCAATTTTTATCTTAAGTTAAACCCACTGTTCTTATAATTTGCACGCATTTCTTTGGTAAATATTCAGCTTGAGTATCTCTTCGTGCATTTAGGTATTTGTTTTTTCCTTCTCGTGAATTGCACTTTATGAGCTTTGCCCATTTTCGTATAGGGAGATTTTTCCTACTAAATTATAAAGCTCTATTAAGGATTTTAATCCTTCATCTAATACCAATATTGGAAATGTTTTTCTGTCTTATCCTTGCTTGGGAACTTTGTTTATGATAATAGAGGATTGGGGTTTTATTTTTAGAGGGGTTTACATAGCGATTTTGGTGTGCTTTGTGTTTGTCTTACCATGGATTAAGGTATGTCAGTCTCTTATGGTACGTGGCTTTGATGTTAGTCACTCCACACCTACCCGTAACCCAATATTATAAAAATATTCTCCTAAATTTTCCTCTAGAATTACTCCATGTTATTTTTAGCCTTCAATCTGTACTCCATCTGGGATTTATTTTGGTGTCAGTTTGTTTCCCCTCATTGGCTAACCACTTGTTCCTGCAGGATGCTGTTGCTTTATTTTTAAGTTTTATGCAACTTTCGTCTGAGCAGTTTTAAATCATCATTTATTATTTTCAAACTAAAAAGTTATGAATAAGATTATTCTGAGTACAAGTAAACAACTAACTTCTGTAGATTCAAGAGTTTTAAGGGCTTAAATTGATGACATTTTTATTAGTAGCAATATGTCCTCCAAAATATAGTCTTGCATTTTTAGTATTAATTTTCTTTTCTGTTATAAAAGAGACCTCATTTTACATCTAGACTAATTATGACCATCAAACTCTGAAAAGTTTTAAGAGTCTTAAACATACAGAGAGGTATTTTGGAGCCTCTGAATGTCATTTCTAGGGAAATAACTCTCCATAGCTGCATGAATAAAAGCACTACTTCCCTCCAGATCTGATTATCAAATATTTTAGAAACACAGGACACAAGCCAGGTGAAGTGGTGCCACTGAATGTAGTCACAATGCCTGAACAGACTGTAGGCAGTTCCTGAAGACAGACCAACAATTTCTTAAGCAAATAATTTGTGAGAAAAGAATGTGGGAACCTATATATTAAGACACTTAAAAAACAAAGTTTAAGGGCCGGGGATTTAGCTCAGTGTTTCTGCCATCTGCCTCACAAGCACAAGGTTCCAAGTTCAATCCTTGGTACCAAAAAAATAAAAAATTGTTTTTTTTGCCTGGCATGGTGGTGCACACCCGTAATCCCAGCACTAGGGAGGCTGAGGCAGGAGGATCGCTGTAAGTTCGAGACCAGTCTGGGCTACCTAGTGAGTTCCAGGTCAGTCTCAACTACATAGTGAGACCCTGTCTCAAAAAACCAAAAAAAAAAAAAAAACCCATAAAGTTTATAGCTTCTTCAGATTCTGATTGGAGAAATTCATAATTTAAATTCACTTAATAAATTAAAAATTGAAATAATTCATATGGGCATAATCATAATACATAGACAGCATATAAAACACAATGAAGGAAATTTAAACATTGAATGATACAAAGGAATTATTGCTAGTTTTTTAGCAATGGTGATTATATATGGTTATGGTTTGTAAGTCTTGCTTTTTAGAAATACATGATGAAATAGCTACAGAAGAAAACGAACAGAATTAGCACCTACATTAAACTTTCATAAAAAGAGAATTCATTGCAAAAATAACTGTATATCTTTAGACATATAAATACAAAGCCTGAATTATCCCACAGCAAGCACAAAATTTATTTGGAGTCTCCTGATTTGCCTTTGAAACATATGGCCCTTTTCAATTTGGAGTTTGCATCTAATAAATGTGAATGTGGATATTATAAAATATGTTATTTGAAAATAAATTATATTACCCTAATTAAATAAAATCAGTACTCCAGGAAAAGACATCTACGTGTACTGTGTGGCTTTGATTACAATAGTGTATGCTATACACATACAATTCTGGTCTGAAATGTACCGAACTTTAATTAAATTAGTGCTTATCTTGCATATTAATTTGCTATCACGAAATACCACACACTGAGTGGCTTAAACAACAGAATTTTATTTTCTCACAGTTCTGGAGGCTGAAAAACCAAAGTCACATTACAGGAAGCATTGGTTTCTGGGGTGGACCCTCCCCCGGCCACCTGCTTGCTATGTGCTCACACAAAGAGAGCTCCGTGGTGTTCACTGTTTTGAAGATACTAATCCTATTGGATCAGAACCCTACCTGTGTAACTTCATTTAACCTTAAATACCTCCATAAAGGCCCTATCTCCAAATATAGTGAGATGGGAAGGTAAAGATTCCAAATATGAATTCAGGGCTGGGGATTTGGCTCAGTGGTTCCTCTGCCTGCTTCACAAGCACGAGGGCCTGAGTTCGATCTCTGGTACCCAGAAAGAAAAATAAATTGTGTGTGTGTGTGTGTGTGTGTGTGTGTGTGTGTGTGTGTGTATGAATTCAGGAGGGAATGTAAAAGTTCAATGCTTAATACACAGGTTTTAGAAAATGTAGTCTAGGATAGAAAAATGTAGGATAACATGCCTAAAAGGTGGCGCATAATTCCATTTAAAATATATTTTGTGCAAGCGTTTTATTCTTGAGTCTTTATTTTTTCATTCTGTGCCCAAATTTTTATTTTGAACTTTTTAAAACTAGAGAACTAGCATAATGCTGCAAACATCTAACATTTTGGTACATTTATTTTTTTCTAATTTTCTCTTGTGTACCTACATATGTTCTCCCTATGTAAATATATATAATACATACAGAGAGACAGATGTACATATAGATATATCTATTTATATACACGTAAGTATATCTGTGTTTTGGGTTACACCATTTGTGGACAATTTGTAGGTAGAAAATTATTCTTTTTCTTCCCATGGTACAGAGAATTGAACCTAGGTCTCTCACACAGAGCCACGTCCTCAGCAAGCTGGACTAGGACTTGCACTCCTCTTGCCTCCGCCTCCCAGAGTTCTGGGATTATAGGCATGTGCCACCACTCCTGGCTCAGAAAAACATTCTCAACAGAAGTGGATTGCTGGATAATGAACTAAAATTGTAACATCCTGTTCCTCTTAGCAAGGGGAACTACTGCAATGACTAAAATGGTTTTCAATTTTGATATCATAAAAAGCCATATTTTTTATTTATGAGTCTTAAAAATGTGTTTATTACTTCAGCAATATAATCACGTGATTTTAAACCCAATAATACTAGTTGTAATAGTTGGCAGATTGTGCTGATTAAATTAGCAGTAGCCTGACTGGAGTGGCCTGAACAGTGATCTTGACAGTCATTCTGTTTTCCTTTTTCCTCGGTAGTACACAATGTTGTCAGGGCAGGTTCCATTCCAGTCTCATGACAGAAGCTTGACGTGCACTAGTGCAGCGGAAATCATGAAGAAAATTAAAAAGGGAGATTTCTCCTTTGAAGGGGAAGCCTGGAAGAATGTATCCCAAGAGGCTAAAGATTTGATCCAAGGTAAGAATATCGTGAAATTTGATACTCTGTGTCTTGTGTCCTGATTGAAGCGGGATCATGCCCATCACACATATGTGTACTTGTGAATTACTCCAGGAATCTACATGTGCTCTCAGAGACCAAGCTACTGTCTTCAGCCTGTTTTCTTATTAAAACACTCCTGCACTAGTCTTACCCACATTTCCAATGTAAACTGGAGCTTGGATTCCGTGGCATCTTAAGTCTCATATCCAAAACAAACCTATACTTTTCTAGTCTCCTTTTCCCTAACCATGTTCCTCCTCCTGTCTCCTTCTCTCGAGTGGCAGCGCTACGCAGAAGCAAAGTCACTGAAACAGGAGCCTTGGCATCACCCGGCTTCCTGCACTGTCCTCACCTTCCACGGCCTGTCACGTAGCTCTGCAGGGTCACTAACCGCCCCTTCCCATTCACAGGCCCTTGCCTTTATTCTTGCCACCATTGCTCTGGCTAAAATCCTGCAGCATCCTTTCAACATGTCTCACTTCCTCTGACTTTACCTGTTCATCATCTATGACCAGAGTGACAAATGTGACTGTAACTCTTGTCGGGTAAGAATCTTTTGGAGACATATCTGCTAGCTTCAGGTGAGACTCCTCCTAGTATTCAGAATGCAAGCCCTTCATGTCCTGGCCCTGCCTGCCTCTGCTTCCTCGTCACCCTGGCCATTGTGGGATACTTAAATCCCTCAAATGTGCCAATTATTCAGATTCCTCCATTTCCTTCCACTTGCTTTTCTTAATCGTTGGAGCCCCCTCATCATCTACCCCACTCCTCCTCATCTGGAAGATTCTCAGGATGCCCGCACTCCATAGGTAAAGCCCTTCTCATGGGCCTGCTACCACACTCTGCACTTGTCCCCTCATGTGAGAACAGCTGAGTCTTTGTCTTTGTGTCTCCTACTTGTTCCTCTGTGAGTCTCCACCTCCATGTCCCTGTTGCTGTATTTATGCTCCCTGACTTGGGGGAGGTGGTTGACAAATGCCTGGCCCCTGAATGAAGTAGATCTGGGTGCTCACTATTGACCAAGTCACCAGTGGGAGTCTGTTTTGGATGGTGATTTTCTTCTGATTGAAAAGCCAGCTATCCCATAGCCTTCTAGATGTAGACTGTTGTGACCTTATTACTAGCATCCAGTGTCCATTAGCAGACTTAACTGTGTATGAAAATGCAGTTATCTTTGTAGGAAGTTGAACCCTTATCATTCTATGTGAACGTAATTGAAATATAGGCCAGAGGTTGATTTTTAGATTATTTGAAATGGCAGATCCTAAAATATTTTATTAATTCCCACAGGACTTCTCACAGTTGATCCAAATAAAAGGCTTAAAATGTCTGGCTTGAGATACAATGAATGGCTTCAAGATGGCAGCCAGCTGTCCTCAAATCCACTGATGACTCCGGATATTCTGGGATCTTCAGGAGCTGCTGTGCACACCTGTGTGAAAGCAACCTTCCATGTAAGGCCTGAACCTTGCCACAGCAGGTGGCTTGGAAAGGAGCTCCATTCACAAGTTCTTATTCAGTAGTGTTAGACCTGGTATCCATTATTACATTTAAAATTGCATGTGTCCTGTGGCTGAGACTGCATAGTAATAACTGTGCATTGTACACCTTTGTGCCAAGCAAATGCAAAAAGACAATTTGTCTAAGGAGTAGATGAGTGAGGGAGAAATAAAATTATTGCCAGAGGGATTACTTGAGAAAGAAAAAGGAATAGTGCTTCTCAGCTCAGAACTGAAGATTTTTAAGTTTCAGATGCAAATGTTGAAGAGTAAAGAAAGTAACTCCCAGAATTTGCACCCCAGGACCCAGGTCCTCTCAGTGCCCGGTGATGCAAGATTGTACAGAGTCACTACGGGCCTGCCCACACCTGAGGCTAAGAAAAGTCAGGGCCAACTGCTCTGAGGATGGCTGAGTCTATTCAGTTGGGAATTTGTGGTCAGAAATGTAAATCTTAGCAAAAGAACCAGGCTCATGATGGAGTGGGTGCTGGTTTAGATGACTGGTGCTCTTAGGAATTTCCAGTCAGTCAGTCAGTCAGTGTTTCTTACTGGGATGTGCCGCTGACATCTTCAACAGATTTCTTACGAGCTGGAGATGAAACTCAATGGTAGATTGCTTTCCTGAGGTTCAATCCCTGGTAACACACAGACACACACCCACACACCCACCCACACACACACACACACACACACACACACACACTTCTGGATGGCCCAGGTGGTTTGATGCACGTGCACAGCCTTCAGAAATCTTTTTCCATGAACTTCTCTCCCCTCCAGGAAGTTCTCAGAGCTTTGTTACCAGAACAACTTGAAGCTGTGGCTGTCAGTGGAAAGTTGTCATCTGGTGTAAGTCAGAAATGGCATAAAACTTGAGTACTTTTGTCTTCACAGTGGTTTCCTCTTTTTCCCCCTAGGCCTTTAACAAATACAAGAGAGAGGGGTTTTGCCTTCAGAATGTCGATAAGGCCCCTTTGGCTAAGAGAAGGAAAATGAAGAAGACCAGTACTAGCACAGAGACGCGCAGCAGCTCCAGTGAGAGCTCACACTCTTCCTCCTCGCATTCCCATGGTAAAACCACACCTACCAAGGCGCTGCCCCCCAGCAATCCTGCAGACAGCACCAACCCAGAAACCCTCTTCCAGTTCTCCGACTGAGCAGCAGAGCAAGAGTAGGAATGTCAGCAGCGATCCATTGCACCTTTATTTCCCTCAGCGTATACCTGAGATGATATTCTGTGCTAAAAAGAAAAAAAAAAGTGTCTCATTGGTCTCATTGGAACCTGCCTCTTCGTGATTTTTTTTCAGGAAAACCTGTTGGTTATCCTCATCCAAGAGCACTGGACAGAGAATGTTACGGTGAGTGGAACATGTGATGTTTTCAGTGACCCACCATGATAACAACAGGACCGTTTCTGAAAGAACAAATTCTTTCTGTAAATTTAAGTAGAGACCGGTCAGATTGCCCACGACGGAAGTCACAGGTTTTTCAGGTGTCTGCCAGCAAGACTTGCCGATGCCTTTGCTATGCCTGGTGGACCAGGTGGGCTTTTAAGAGATTTGCACCCTCTGGATAGTAATTTATCCGAGATAAAGGTCTGTTTCAAGAAAAGATTCGGTTATGAATTTTATGTGTGACATATACTTATTTCCTCAGAGAGAATTTTAACTTATTGTTTTTATTTTATTGTTATGTATGATGATAACCCGCTATTATTAATCTTTTTCTAAAAGTTTTAAAAAATTCTAAGAACTTCAGGTTCCATGCTCTGTGTTTGGGATCCATCTTCAATGCATGCTATGCTGTGTATGTTTTTAATTTTGCACTGCTCTTCCCTGGCAGTTTGTTTAATGGTTATTTCAGAGTATTAAGGTACATGTCTCTCTATTTTGAGTAATATTGCACTTTATAAAAGGATGTGAATAAAGCAGTCTGTTTTATAAAGTGCACTGTCTAAAGCATATGTACTGTATTTTTGCAGTTTTTTTCCATTATTTACTTAAAATTTGTCCTTATATCCCTCTTCTGCTTTGTATGTGACAAGTAGAATGGGGCTTGTGTGTAATGAGTCCTCAGCCACTTATGCACCAATATGAGGAAAAACTAAAGGGAAATTATACTCAACACTGTGCTTCATATTTGTACACTGTGTTGTACTACAGTGAGGCATTTCCTTCTGTAGTCATTTATTATGTACATAATATTTTAGAATCATACCTTTGACTTGTTTTGAAATTTTTCTGTTAAACTTTGAATCCAGAAAGCATTATTTTATAAACTTATGCAGAGCACTTTCATTGCTCCAAAGTTCTGAATTCATACAGAAAACAAGTGCTAGGCGATGGGGACATTTCATTAAAAGATTGCTGCATTTTAAAATATAATTAGTTCATTCCCTATGCAAAAACATGAAGTGTTAGGATTTGTATGTTATGCTTTCTTTTTAAGCCATTATGTGAAATATCAAGACTGAGAAAAGTGATCTTTGTTATGTTTACAGGAATCATGCTTAAAAAGATAATGCCCAATAAGTTTATTTTATAGTTTTGTTAATGATAACTTCTGAGCATTATTTTGGAATTTGGGCATGGTATTTATTTATCCCTTTCTTGAGGTAATAGCAGCATTAATTTCAACCAGTTACAGATACTAAAAATATTGCACTCTATGTAATGAAATTATATTTATTACTAAATCAGTGTCTATATTAATAGCACAGGCAACAAAATGACAACTATTAAAATATTTTCAAAAAATCGTATTATCATGTTTACATTTTTGTCCACAATGGTTATTGGGAATTATTTTTTATACTTTTCACTGACCTAAATGGCCACATAATTCTCTTTTAATTAATGAAAGTTTTGTACTCCTTGATTTCAGTCATTCCTAGAAAGGACAGGAGATCATGTTTGAATTATTCCTTAGCTATAGCTAATTCATAAAATGTGATGTCATTGTGTACAAATTTATAAGAGAATGTCCATTTATTTTTACACTGGATATATTTGGGTTATATTCAAGTCACTTTTTAAACCGTGTCTTGTGGTAGAAAATGAGTTATAAAGTACAAAGTGAAGGGACTGTGTTGCCAACAGAAAGACAGTCAGCCATTGTGCCCCAGTGACAGCAGTGTGATTGACTCATTGTGAGTATTGAAACTCAGTGGGTCTAATTTTCATTTTTGTTCTTTTGCACCTTCTCCTGGTGGGCACTGAAATGAGCAGAGGCAGGCAGAGGAAGAGGAGGGAGCAAAGATAAAGCCCTCAGGCACCCGATGCACCAGCCTGAGCTATCTCAGGTGGGCTTTGAAGAGACCCGAAAGGCACAGCCTTGCACTCTTCGCCAACATCACATCCTCACCGATCCCTGCATACCCACAAGCAGCCTTCAGTGCTACATTGCAGCAGCTAAATTGTGGGTATTGCGCCTTAAAATTTGTAGAGCTTTCCTTTGATTACATCAAAGCCGAACAATAAAAAATATTTTCTATAAAAATATTAAATGAAAGGACTTTTGCTATTAGGAATAAAATAGATGCCAAAAACAAATATATACATTAAGTACTTTTTATTGTATTAATTTGGGGATAATGCTGAATCACCCACTCCCTTCTTCCCTGTTTAATTGTATGTAATTTATGCCATCATGAGTCCTGAATCATATATTTTCTATATACACCTAATACATTGAGAGGCAAGAGTAGGAAGAGAAAGTAATAGACCACTACACTGGTGGATTAGAACATCAGTCTTCTGGACCAGGGATTTAGCTCAGTGGTTCTGCCACCTGCCTTGCAAGGGCAAGGTCCTGAGTTCGATCCCTGGTACCAAAAAAAAAAAAGGCACATCAGTTTCCTGAGTTAATTTCAACATGATTATCTTTTCATTCTGATTATTGCTGATTTCTTACATAAGAATGTTAATTCTTATAAACATAAGGTAATTCTTTAAATATAAGGTAAATTATTTGTAAAGAATCCTACTAGGATAACATTGACTGGTTTCTTTTTTAAATAAAAGGAAATTTCCTTGGTAACTTACTTTATTTTTTAAAATATGTACTCAAATACTTTATAAAAGTGTAAAATGTCTTGTCTGATTGTTCCTTGCTTCTATTTCAAACACCTGTTATTGTCATATTTAATAAGAACAGGGCACCTTACAATGCTGAAAATTTCTAAATTATTGATTCTATATATGCCTTAGACCACTTGATTATTTTGGGTGTTCTCCCAGTGACCAATAATAATATCTAATAGCTCAGTTCAGGTGTTTGTGTAACAATACTTCTAAAATACTTTAAAATCTAAGTAAATAGCTAAATTCTAATATACTAACTTAATGTCAAAATAATTGTCTTACAGATGAGTTACTGTAACATAATGCAGTATCTTAAAATTATATATGGCCCCTGAGATGTCTTACTCCATAACAGTGCAGTTTCTGGTTTTTAATTAATTGCATGTCACATAAGTGGGCATTGTCACATGACAATATGATCTGGCTCCAAAATGAATGTAGCAAGCGCCAATGAAATCTGGAACGTAAAACTCAAAATTGAAAAATACAAGATTAACAGAGGAAGTATGTATCAAATAAGTATTTTAAGTATAATCTGATCAAAGAAAACAGCTGCTACAGCCACATAAAGGTTTTATTTGCTATCTTAAGTAATTTCACTCCAAATTGTGACATTCTTTAGAGAGAATGCTTTCCTTCAAAGCAGATAATTTAAGTCTTGTTTTGGGGGTGAGGCAGTATTTGTTCAAAGGGACGACATCTTCCTGAGAATATTTGGCTAGTCTCTTTAGACCTCCTCTGCAGCACTGTTTGCTTTCAAGCTTTCAAGATACTGGATTTCTTCAGAGCCTTTTGCTTTGTAAGCCCGGCTCCCCCTTTTGAAGTGCGGTAGTTGGTGCAGCTGCTTCTTGTCAGCCTCAAAGCTGTTGCCCACCCTATTTCATGCATTTGGAAAGTACGCAGGTGCCAGCGCTTTCATATCTTCCTGTTGGCTGAAAGAGTCAGAAACAAAAGTGGCTCTCAAATCCTTGTGTATTCTTGTCCCCATATAAGTGCAGACAGCTCAGATAGGTACTGTTGATTACCAGCCATTTCCTTTTCTTTGTTACCTGTAACCATGTGGCAAAATTCTGATACTTTGTATCTAGGAGACTTTATATTAAAAGACAGGATTCTGGGTAGTCATTCCTGTGATTTAATTTTCCTGGTATATGTCTGCTGGGATAGGTGGAAGGACATTTTGTAAGTTTCCTAAAGTGCTGCTTGATCCATTATAAAGCACTAAACACTTCAAAGAAATAAAATGTGAATTTAATACAACTGATCTTCAGAACACAGATAATCTGGGATAATACTTAGCAGTGTGTTATTTTCTAGTGTGTAACACTTAATTTGTATTGTCTTATAAATTTATCTCTTTAAAAATTCAGTGGGATGCTTTTCCCCTCAGCAATTTTTGTCTTTCCATTTATGTTTTCAAGTCCCCCTATATTTTAAAAAAGAAGAACCTGACCATGGTGGTACACACCTCTAATGCCAACACTCTGGGAAACTGAGGCAGGTGGATCACAAATTCTATCCCAGCCTCAGCGACTGAGCAAGACCCTGTTTCAAAATTTAAAATTAAAAAAAAAAAAAGACTTGAGTATAATTCAGTATGAAGGCCCTGGGTTTAATCCCCATACCAGAATGGAAGAGGAAGAAGATAAAGATGAAAATTGAAAGGATAGAAATGATATTTCATGACTTAGAGAAGGAAGTTCAAGTTGTGCTAGTATAATAATTTGACTTTATTTCTGACATTTCTGTCTATAGATGGGTTGAGAAATCATTGTTTCCCTTGTTTGCTTTGCTTTAAAATCCAGTAAGGTTGAGGCCGCATTTTGGTTGTAATTTTTTTATTCTAGGAATCGAACTCGGGTCCTTGGCACTTGCAAGGCAGGCGGCATGAGGCTACATTTTGACTGCAGTTTTGTTTTTAACTTATAAGAAGCTGGTCATGTAAAATGTGTTCTGCTGTGTTGGGGTGCATAGGTGACAGTCATCCTCATTAAAAACCTGCGGCTAGCCAGGTGTGGTGGTGCACGCCTGTAATCCCAGCACTCAGGAGGCTGAGGCAGGAGGATCACTGTTGAGTTCGAGACCAGCCTGGGCTACATAGTGAGTTCCAGGTCAGTCTCAACTACATAGTGAGACCCTGTCTCAAAAAAAAAACCTGTGGCTGTGGTCAGCACTTAATTATTCAGAGAAGTTTATTTTAGGTGCCGTACTGCAATCCTACTTGCTAAAATTGCACGTATGGGTGAGAGGAATGACTGGATACAATAATGCTCCTTCTTTTGGGGAGTAAGAATGGAAATGTAAAGATGCAGTGTCACATAAAAACTTCACGTGGTAAGTACTGAAGTTTTGCAAAATATCTCTAAAAGCTTTACTGGCATGGATTTCTAAAAAGAAGAAGAAATCACAATATACACATAGAGGAATTTTTACAAGACTGGCCTTTAAATGTACAGCTGGTGTCTTTCTGTCCAAAACGCTGTTTATGCTTAGGTGTGGAATTGAAAACTGCTGAAAGCAATCCAAGCTGCAGTAATCTATATGGACTGTTCTCCCAGGGCTTAACCGTAAAGATAAGATTTTTTCTTACTAAAAGGTAAAGGGAAAATTAAAAGATGAAGAACATTTTTCTTCTGTGTGGATAATTAAAAGTACGATCAAGCCCCAGAGCAAATGATGAACGCTCTTGCTGTCTGCTTTCCTCTTCCATAACTGCCTCCACACTTGGTACGTGTACCTTCCCTTGTGTTGCTCTTTTTGTTTTCCCATTATAAACCCACACACATTAATGTAACCCTACACTGGTATTTAACTCACCACTTCGTGCACCCACATAGTGATGAACATTTATAGATGATAACCAATATCCCTGAAATAAGCAGTTGACTAAAACGGAGAAAGTCTGGGATGCAAATAATTTAAGGAAATAAGGATGCTATGTGGAAAGTGAATGCCTTTAAGCTTGGGATCTAAACATTGCCTGTGAACACAGAGAGGGCTACTTTACAAAAATGCTATTTCAGTGGCTGTATAAATCTGTCTAGTGGAGCCAGGGATGTAGCTCAGTGGCACCACACCTGCCTGGCAAGGTCCTGAGTTTGATCTCCGGTACCAAAAAAACAACCAATAAATCTGTCTAGAAAGTTTTGTCTATTCTGTGCCTGAAGGAACTCATGTAATATGTCTGGATGGACTCTGGAGCGTAGTTATTTTTTTCCAGGAGGACCACGGGGATAATTCTCGCCTGTTTCCCCACCCCTTCCCCAACTTTTCCCACCACCCAACGCCCAGATGACTGACATGGTCAAAGGAACTACTCCAAATAGGGCACCAAGACCACATGGAGCTGGTGATGATTTTTTTTAACTTTTATTGCAATATAATAGGTGAAGTGCACAAGGCTTACATATACAGCTCACTAATTTTTGTACCTATACCTTTCCGTGGCGCCATCACCCAGCTAAAGACGCTCCCAGTGAATGCTAAAGATGACCAGCATCCTAACTTCTGTCGCTGTTCTGACTTCCTGTAAATGGGATTATATAGCATATATCCTGGTTTTATTTGTGAAATTCACCCATGTTGTCTCATGTGGCAGTAACAACAGTTTGCTCTTTTTATTGTTGTACAGCATTCCCTTGGGTGAGTACTCTGCCTTACTCTTTACTTCTTCTACCCTTTACTGATGAGCTTTGGGATGTTTATAGTTTTTAGCTTGTGTCTCTAAAGTTGCTATGCGCATCCTTGTTCATATTTTTTTAGTGGACAGCAGCACTCATTTCGCTTGGTTTTATACATAACATTGAGACTACCATGCCATAGGGTGAGTGTATATTTAGCCAGAAGATATATTGCCAGATATTTTTCCACATTGGTTATTCAACCAATGAAAGTTTCAATTTTTCCACATCCCCATCAATACCTGGTCCCACCAGCTCAGTAATTGCAGCTGTTCTGCCGAATGGGTATTTGCTTGTGGTTTTAGCCACTTCTGATGATTACACATTTCACTATGGTTTTAGTCATTCTGACAAATGTGTATCTGATTGTGGTTTTAATGTGCATTTTCCTGAGAAGTACTGATGTATGGAACACCTTTTTTATTTTAATATTTTTAGCCATTTGATTATTCTCACCTGTTTAGTATCTCTTCTAGCTATTTGTTCATATTTGGGGAGTTGGTTTAAAAGAGTTCCCTATATTTAATGGATGAGAGTTTTTATCTGATATAATATTACAAATATTTTCTCTTTCTTTTTTCTAGTTTCTAAAAGGCTTCCTTTGACGACCAAAATTTTTATGAAGTCCAAAATAGAAATCTTTTATTTGTCGTTAATGGTTTTGTCCTGTTAAATGTTTGCCACAAGGTTGTGAAGGTTTTTTGATGTTTTGGTTTGGTTTGGTTGCACTTCTTGGGGATTGAACTCGGAGTGCTGGGCTACATTCCCACATCCCCAGCCCTTTTTATTCTTTTAGTTGGATTCAGGGTGTCATTACACTGCTCAGTGGGGCCTCAAATTTGTGACCCTCCTATGTCAGCCTCCCTGGTAGCTGGGATTACAGCCGTACACAACTGCCTGGATTTCTGTAAATTTTTTATAGATATCATTTACCAGAATATGATTATTTTTCTAGCTGGACATCATGGCATACACCTGTAATTCCAGTATTCAGGAGGCTGGGGCAGAAAGATCTCTAGTTCAAAGCCAGCCTGACTATAGAGAGAGGCCCTACCTTAAAATTTTTAAAAATTATTTTACTTCCCAGTTTTCTGGGATTCTTTGTTGTTGTTGCTTTTGTTTTTTGAGACAGAGGCTCCCATATAGTTCAGGCTGGCCTTGAACTCACTGTGTAGTCCCATCTGGCCTCGAACTCTTGGCAATCCTCCT